GGAATTCTGCTCTCAGTTACTCTGGGGTAAATCTACCTGAATTGAAGGCTGTGGCCAGGAGCGGGTCGAGCCCTGGTCGCGAGGGCAGAGCTGCAGGTTGACGTGTCCGTGCCCCTGTCCTGCTTTCCAGGCGCTTTCCCCGCTCCCTCACGGACAACAACCGCTGGCTGCGCGAGCGGAGCCACGAGTCCTACGCCAAGAACTACTCCGTGGTCTTCCCCTACGACGAGCCCCTGGCGGGACGCAACATGAGGAAAGACCCCCTGCACGAGGTGAGGAGCTCCCCAAGCGCCGTCTGCCCATGCAGGGAAGGGTCCCCACTTTCAAGAGACCCCCCCCGAAATGCCAGGCTGGATTTCCAGCAGTTTTGCTGGCCAGCAGCATTGCAAAACCACGCAGAGCCACTTAAAACACCCCTCTGCTGCTGACAACTGTCACCTGAGGGCTGGCTCCATTCGCCTGACTGCTGCAAAGCAACTTCATTTACCTTCCAGCCGTGGCCCAGAAGGAACCAAGTTTCCTGAGCCCATTGCACCTACTGCTAATTCAAATCATGCCATTTCTCTGCCGATGGAGAACAGAGACTTAAACAGTAAAACAGACATTCTTCCCTGCCGTCCCCCATTGTTTGCTTGACAGCTCAGTTGTTTTCTGTCACCGAGGATGCAATTTATTTTTTAATAGGATGTCTAATAAGCGATGCCCATTTGACTGACAGCCTGGTATTTATACATGAAGCTCCAGAACATGTGCTGTGTTTTATAAATAGACACTGAATCATTTCTAAAATATTCAACAAAATCTATTCTTTTCCGAACAGAGGGACCAAACAAAAATATCTTAATGGATCCCTAATTAATTGCATGCAGAGATATTTGCCTGAGAACACAGAGGAGGAATGAAAAGGTTGCCTTATAAAGCTTAAGTGTTATTATATAATTACTGTTAAAAACACTGGGGAGAATCTTCCTCTCAGGATTTAACTTCTTTTCATCACTAGTGCATCCAAACACAAACTTAAATGCAGTGCACAACTGACCCGTGGGGCTGCTTGCTGTCGGATGCTGTTAAGGCAAATACCTTTGTTGGACAAAAATACAAGGGATTTCAAAGGAGCTGGAATTTTCCACTATTTTGCAAAACAAATCGCAGAGCTGATTTCTGGTATCACTCTCCCTTCTTGCCACTTGGCTGCTGATAGTCAAAGCCAAAGTGTTGAGGATCTGGCCTTGCACATGCGTTTAAGGAGGGCACCCTCAGCATTAACAGCGGAATGAGAATGGCTCAACAAAAATGTTTTATTTTCCTACTGTCTTTCTGTCATTTTCTTCCCTAGGAACTGCTGGAACAAGGCTGTGTTTTCCAGGAGAGACACGGCTGGGAGAGGCCTGGCTGGTTCAACCCCAAGGGAGCAGCTCCGGTAAGGACACAATGTATTTTCAGGGGAGATTTTCAGCCTGTGTCCTGCATGTCCTTGAGGACACAGTGTGTGTGCAGGATGTACCCTGTGTGCACAGGCAACACACTGCACTTTCCAGACACGGTGGGGATGGAACTGAAAGCTCCATCCGCGCTGAACCCGCTCAGCTTTGGCCGCCTTCCTCGCTGCCCTCCATCCTGCCCACTTCTCTCCCCAGGTCCTGGATTACGACTACTACGGGGCTTACAAGCGGCAGCGTCACAGCAACTACACCTACAACCAGCTGCTGGGGGCCGAGTACACCTTCGACTTCCCCCCGCATCACCACGTCGTGAGTGGGGCCGCCGGGGAGACGAGGGGACATTTGGGACAGCCGAGGGACCCTTGGGGGCAGATCCCGGCCACGAGCCAGGAAGGAACACCCAGCTTTAAGCTTTAGCTGTTACCATTGATAACTATCACATGTTATTGATGCGATGGGATTGGGTGGATTGGCAGTGCTGTGTTGTCTGATTTGCTCCATATAATATCTAATTTTTGAGGACTGTTTTAAAACATTACAGCAAGCCTTACAGGCACCGGCCACAGCCTGGAATTGTTTCCTATTACATAGGTGGTTTAATGTCTCTCTCCTTCTTTAGACTTAGAAGGATATGGCTCAACTTTGCAGTGTTTTTTCTTTAATTTTAGATCAAGAATGAATGCTTAACGTGCAGAAATGCCCTGGCTCTCTTTGACATGTCTTATTTTGGGAAATTCTACCTGGTTGGTCCTGAAGCGACAAAAGCGGCGAACTGGCTTTTCACCGCTGATGTTAGCAAAGCACCAGGTACTGGTTCAACCTTGTTATTTCAGCTTCACAGTGCCGGGGGGGTTATTGATGTTCCTGCTTTTTAAAAGGCTGCCCTAGGAAATTACATCTTTAACCGAAGCAAATAGTGGGTGACCCAACCTGCCTTTTATCGTAAATGTTACTTTTGCAGAGGATGTGGGAAGCACCTGAGAGCGACCGCTTTCCCTGTCCTCCCCGAACGACTGTGATTTTGCTCTCAGTTGCACTGGTGCAAACCTGTTCATTGCATCTGGAGTGAGAGCAGGGAGAATCTACCTGTCAGAGTGTAGCTGGAGAAATGGGTTTTCTGGGGTAAATAGCAGTGACACACGGTGGTTTCATCAGGGACAGAGCAGTGCAGTGGGACCTATTCTGGGGGCAGAGGCAGGCCCTCGCTGTGCATCCACAGGACCTGTGAATTCTGCCTCTTGAAAGGGTTCCTCCTGCCCTCTCCGGTGCCCAGCACCGTTTGCTGAGTGCCCTGGGGCATCTCATCCTCACGAGGCCCTGTCTCTCCCCTTGCTCCTAGGCTCCACGGTGTACACGTGTCCCGGAGATTAAAGCATCTCTTTAATCTTGGCCACTCTGTGCTTCTGCTAGCCCTGGCCAGCGTGTCTGGGGGCTGATTGCATTACGTGTTCCCAGGCACCTTCTTTCCCCGCGGCCCCCCTTGCTGCATAACCCAATTATCCCCTTTCTCCTGGGGGCTTGGGCTCTAACCAGGTTCTCATTGGCGTTATTGGGTTTCTTAGGCTCTGCATGGCTGCTCCGGCCTCTCCCAAAGTCTTTATCAGCTGCAATAAAGAGGAATTAAAAGGAAGCAGAGCAGTCAGCCCAGAAGGCAAAACTGGCATTAGGCAGCAATGGTGGAGGAGGGCTCTGTGCTGCGCTCCAGCAGCGCTGCCAACCGGCTCTGCCTCCCAGTGACGGGTGTCTGCGGGTGCTACGGCTGCCCCAGAGGGACCTGCACCTCCTGGGAGAGGAGGGATCACGGGAAGCAAGGATTGGGCTTGGATATCGAATGCAAACAGCAGCCCTGCTCCCACACAGTGTCACTCTGAGCTTCGCTGCTCAGGAGCAGCCTAGGGAAGAGAGGAGCCTCGGGAGCAGCAGGGACGGTGCAGAGTTACAGGAGGGATGTCCCTGCTCCGCCAGCCTCACACTTGAGCACAGAGTCTCCCTCCCATGTCCCTCCCTCCCATGTCCCTCGCCTGTCTCACTCACAGACACCCGGGAAGCAGGAGGGGAAGCGGATAGCAGAGCTGCAGCATTTGATAGGTGATGGAGGAGTTTAATAAAAGCAGATCTATTTTTTCAATTATAGTAGGTGGCTACACTTATTATCATTATGACAGATTATTGGAGAGCAGTTTGGTAGTGGCAGAAGAGGCAGAAGGAAGATCGATTATGTATTAATCAGCTCCCTAACCCCGTCCCTGGGTAACTCTCACCCAGAATTACTGGCAAGATGAATTTCCCCTTATATACACGTTGAGTACTCGTGCTGGTTATGGCCTGGTCTCTCCAGCCCTCCCTTTTTCCTCAACACGTAGCAACTTCTACATGAACTGTCCTGGTGAGGAGCAGGCAGGGACTTGGGCTGCAGAGTGTTCACCTGCATGTATATGTCTGCAGAATGCTCTGACTTATAGTTCCTCCCTTAAAACTTAGATATCCACTCTGTATTAGAACAAAATATTGGAAGCTTTTGTGGTTGGTCTTTCGGGACAAACTGTTTTCTCCTTCAGGATTACCTGCTCCTGCAAATCCAAGGAGCTATCCGCAGCCAGATTGGCAAAGCTCTGTGTGAAAGCATTGCACAAAGGCATTTCTAGGACTCAGAGAACTGGAAGAACTCCTCTAGCAGGAAAGCAAGGCCGATGCAGGCAGCGTCTACAAGCCGTGCCATGGAAGTGAGGGAAACCGTACGCAAAGAAAAACAAACGTAGGGTTATGCAAGGCTGGTGTGGCTGTAGCCGAGGCAGTGAGCACTTGCATAACACTACCTTTGACATTAGCTTCTTGGAGCTCCTTGCATAACAGCAGAGCAATAAACCCTGAGGGGAAGAGCCCTGTGATCTGGCTCTGAGACGTTGTGCACTTGCTCAAGACGGAGGTAGGGGCTGCTGCTCACTGGCCCTGGGGCAGCTCGGTGCCCGCAGGCCGGTGCACGGGGCAGGGAGATCCTTCCCGTCCTCTGGCTGTCAGGAGGATGGAACTGTGCTCTGAATGCCCCAAATCCCACCTTGCCTTTTATCCTTTCAGATTTTAGAGGTGATTTGTATTGCCTGCCCCAGCATTGCAGTGTGTGTGGTGCTTCCTCCGGGCCATGCAAGCCAGGGTCACTCAGAGCTGCACTCAGAGCCTCTATGGAGCAAAACCCAGCCAGGAGCAGAGCTGAGCATCGTTCCTAGCTCCGTTCTGTGGCATGTGAAAGACCACGGGGTGTCTTGCAGGGGACGGCTACTACCTGGCTGTCGGCGGGGCCGTGGCGCAGCACAACTGGTCGCACATCAGCACGGTGCTGCAGGACCTGAAGCTGCAGTGCAGCCTCCTGGACTGCTCCGAGGAGCTGGGCATGCTGAGCCTGCAGGGCCCGCTCAGGTGAGCGCGGGTCCCCCCTCCAGGCTCCCTCCTGTCCCGGGGGCCTTGCCAGTGCTGGGTTTTGGGGGTAAAACACTGGGATTTGGTTAATGAGCTACCTCCTTTCTCCGCAGCCGCACTGTGCTCCAGGACGTGCTCGACACGGATCTCAGCAACGAGGCCTTCCCCTTCTCCACCCACAAGCTGGCCAAGGTGGCGGGATGCACGGTAGGATGGGAACTGGGTCCTCAGCACTCGTCTTCCCGCAGGACGCGCTGCCTCCAGGGGTTTGCTCAGTGGGACCGCTGTCCACTTGCATTTTTTGGACCAGGCACGTGCCCCTGGGGAGACAAAGTGCCCCTGTGTTCTGGCAAGGGGCAACTGGGAGGGTTTTCTTTGTTTCTGGCAGTCTTGGAGTTGGTTTATCCTAATTTGAGAAGAAATATATCTTAATCCCTCCCTGTCCCCAGGTTATTGCCAAAACAAGCTCAATTTTCCAGCTCTACCTCCTTTATGGTGAGCAGAGCTGTGAGAAGAGCTGGATTGGGGTTTTGTGGACGGAGACAGATGCTTCCCAGGAAACGTGTGAGTGAACCCATAGCAGGAGCTACGAGGGTTGTCACAAGCCTTTGTGTAGCATCTGAGCTGCAGGAGCCTTGTGCTCCCCTCCTGTCACTTGCATGTGGCTTTGGGCAGTTTTTCAAGGGCCTCGTGGTGGGTTTTGGTACCCGCTCCAAGCCCCGTGGAGGAGCTCGAGGCTGGCTCTGCGCCGAGCCATCCCGTGGGCACGTGAGCCCCCGGCTCCGCACCGGCATCAGAGGAATCTGTCCCGCAGATCAGGGGCTAGCGCCGCTGGCAGAGCCTTATCCGACACTCTAGATCCCCTCTCCATCTCCCCACATTAAAAAGGAGAGCGATTAAAAGCCCAGGGTGTCTTGCAGTCCCCGAGGCCGCTCGGGAGCCAGAGGAGCCGGCGTTTTTGATCACAGCAGAAGTCTGACAACCTTAAGCTTTCTGTACAAGCACAGATCATCTGGCATTTGCCGAGACTTTGGGACTGGCGTCAGCGGTTATGTAAGAGAAGTGCGGAGATGGAAATGCTCCTTGCTAATACCTAGGGTTCCTGAGGCAGGAGCGAATCTGTTTTGGGCAGAACGGTGAAAATCCAACACTGTGGCCTGGTTGTGCCATCCGGGACAGTGTCGCAGCTGGTGGGGTGCCCAGGCCTCTGATGGGCCTCGTGCACCGCCCTGATGCTGCAATGATGGGCTTAGGACATGGCAAAAGGGAGCACAGGACCGGGATGCAACGAGATGGATCTGTCCTTGGCGCTCTGGGTTTCTCTATGAGGTTTCACAGCCCCGGTCGATGGGGATCTTCCTTCTCACCCGACACCGTGCGGGGAAAAAAGCGCCTCAAGTCTCTTCCTCCGTCTCGCTTGACAGGAATAAACGTTGTCAAAGTTATTCCTAGGGAAAGGGGGTGGCGGTTGTTTGGGTTTGCCTTTTTTTTTCCCCCATGTGTGAAGCTGCTGCTTGAGCCGGTTAAAACACCCCAAATAGAAGCGTCTGACCCCAAAGTGCTGTTTTGTCAAAACAGGGACTTTCTGGAGGAACTTGCTGTTGTTAAATATTGATATCAGGGAAGAGGATTGAGGACGAGTTGGACAACGAGCTTAGCTTTCATTTCCTAGTGATGTTTGCATCATAGTGAAGAGTATTTTATGTTCCTTAGCAAAACACCTCCCTGGAAGAGGCCTTTCATAGGATACCTCTGCCTTCCCAAGGGAGATGTGTGACCACAGTATCGGCACACTTATGAGGCAACAATTTCCAGCCTAAAAGGCTGGAAAATAAGGAAAACTTAGGATTTTGAGCTGCCTTGCAGAAATCTCAGTCGTGTTCTGCACATAGCAGTTCTCCTGGTGCAGGTGAGATGCTGGGAGGTGCCGGGATGTCCCAGCCGGACACAGAGACCCGGGTCCTTCCACCTCCAGTTGATTGACACCAATTCAGCCGCTGCCAGCCGGGAATCTTCCCCTCAAATGACAGGGAAAG